AAAAAAAAAAAAAAAAAAAAAGCACAAAACGGTGGAACTCAGAGCGAGGAGAGGTCCGTTGTGTGTGTGGCTGGCTATGGCACTAGTACCGTCTTGACCCGAATAGAACGCCCGGTCATTAAATCTGTATTTAGCACAGCTTTCAGCCCCGATACGGCGATAATTACCGGGGCGCGTTCTATTCGGGTGAAGACGGTAGCTTAGCTGTACTATCAATCAACCTCTCCTCCTGCTCCTACCCCCGAGTGTGGTTCTCTGAACCTCTCTCCAATTTGCTTATATGTCCTTTTTTTTTTTTTTTTGGGCATTTGCTTATATGTCCTTGCACAGCCAGCAGGGATCACGGTGTTTTTTTTTTTTTTTTTTTTTTTTTTTTTTTTTTTTTTGGTCGGTGGACGAGGTGGTTCTCTCTCTTATTAGACTACTGCTGCCTGCACCTTGCTGTATGTGGCTGCCTTTGATGGGCACGTCACACAGGAGCCTCCGCGTGACAGGAATAAGAAAACTCGAAGCGTCGCCTGGTGGAGCCTCCGCGTGACAGGACAAGAAAACTCGAAGGGTCACCTCGCGGACACGTGTAAGTTGTAGAGGCCGTTAGGACAGAAAGAGGGATCCCGACTGTGCAAAACGACGCCAGTGCCACAGTCCCAACACCCGAAGCATTCAACGCTTGACTGCACGGATCGATCCAGCCGTCCGATCCGATTGCGTCTCCGTCCGATCAAGACCCCACCGTCACTTTGGAGAACACTCGAATTCCAAAGCGCTGGAGTGAGTCCCAAAGCCCAAAGCGAGGGCTCCCTGGGACCATGCGAAGGCACCTCTGTGGTACCACCAAGGCCTCCCTGGCACAGCTCACCTTCTGTGGTACCACCAAGGCCGCCCTGGCACAGCTCACAGCAGGTGAACAGTACCAATTTAAAAACGAAAGAACGACCCAAGAGCCTAGCTCGGTGGGTACACCCATGAAATGTGTGTTGAAAAGACAGACCCGTGTTCGAATCCAGATGATGGAACTTGACGAGTAAAACCAACTACTTGGGACCGGATAATATCTCAAAACCGTTGCCCCTTTTAAAAAAAAAAAAAAAAAACAGAATGGCATGCGTGGAAGATGCGTTATTCATTTACAGATTTGGGGAGGTTTGTTTAAAAAAAAAAAAAAAAAAAAAAAAAAAAAAAGTCAAATTTCATTGATTCAATTGGAAATAAAGGCCTAGGATCCTCAACATTACTCCAACCAACCAACCAACCAACCAAAAAAACACACACACACACACACACACACACACACACACACTACTCCAACCGGGAGGTATCGGGAAGCATCATCCAGCTTGTATAGCTTAACCAGCACCACCCTGTCCGAGGGATCACCCTTTGATTACTCCTCTTTCTATTTGAAGGGACGCTGCACCTGCTGGAAAACGGGTCCAGCGTATGTGAACGAATGCCAATCACAAAAGAATAGCAGTGGGATCCTGGGGGAGGAGGTCCTCCACCTCATAGCAAAGGTGGGGGGAGAAACGTAGCTGGTTGTACTCAGTGAACAGAATCCACCGAAACTCAGATCGCCAGTTTGCGAGCAACAAGCCCTGAGCAGCTGAGGCAGCTGAGGTGCAGCTGAGGATTGAGAGAATTGAATATTGGCCTTTCGGCATTCGGCCATGATACGACTCCGACTCGGAACTGTCGATGTGAATGTATTACGTAGGAGTACTTCTTGAAATGAAAACCATTGGACAAAATATACAGGGCTATCACCTTCTCTGGCAAGACTTTCCAATCTTTTCTAATTTGCTTGGATGGTATTTAGAACCTAATCCGCGTTCGCTCGCCAGAAGGACCAGAATAAGCGAAGCTATTGAATCTACCGTCTACGGTGTCTGCGAGCGAACCAGAGCACCCGAAAAAAAATGATGCGGAATTGAATAGCTATCCCAGATCTGACCACCCAGAAACCATTGATGCGGAATTCACGGAGAATCATCGGGTTGATGGCCAAAGAGGACCAATTGTTTTGGCCAATAGGAGAAGTCTATGTATGCTGCAAACCAAAGACTTAGTGTGCTTATCCAGTCCCAAAATCCTCTCCTAGCGACCACGCATTCCCACCAAAGGTGACAGGAGTCCTCCAATGACATATGTGGACCCACTTCGCAAGTAGCTGAATTCTCCATCCCTTTTTCTGTACACCATGCTGGTGTAGGTACAAAGTTATGGAGATGCAGCCATTAGAGACCAGCCAACTCCTAACAACTGCCTACCTACCCTGCTATCTCATTAATTTATTCCAGCGCCTAACCTTCATCCTTCTAGTATACAGAACCCCTCTTACCTATTCAGTCTCCTAGGAGGAGAGTATAAACTCAAGCAACATAAGCAGCTCAGTGCAAGCACTTGTTAGCCATCC